GAGAAAAAAGGGCTCAAGGCCCAAGAGAAGCTCTTTCAGATCCTCCAGACAAAAGACCCATTCCTTGTTGAAGACCTGGAGAATAACTAAGACTGGGCAAGCAGATGGCTTTTGCTCCGATTGGCAGATTAAGGAAGTGACAGGGGAGACAGGCAAATGGAGAGATTTGTCTGTACGTGAATCCTGACCTTTCCATGCAAAATCCATGATACAAAGCAATGCCTAAGCCTTCTGAGCCACCAACTGCCAGGCCTGCTTCCCTTACCTGATGTGCTCACTACAAGAGGACTTGATCACCACTGAGGAGCTGCTGGAACGAGAAACCTTGGTTCTTAATCCAGTGCCCATGTTGTGAAGCCATCTGCCTTCTGAGAACACAGGGCCTCTGCAGGGTCTCCAGATGCTCCAGGCAGCTGCTGGTCGAGGAGCTCTCTTCACAACAGGAACCTCACGGAGTCACAGAATTATAGGGATTGGAAGGAACCTCTGGAAATCCCCCAGTCCAACACTGCTTAGAGCAGCTTCCTTACAGAACGTTACACAGGAAAGTGTTCAGGCAGGGTTTGACTATCTCTGGAGAACGAGACTTTACAGCCTCTCTGGGCAACTTGTTCCACTGCTCTGTCACTCTCATAGTATCGTTTTTATTTATGAAATAAAATCATAAAGTCCATCCATCAACCTGACCATGTTTTCAGCTAGTTTTTGTATTACATTTCTTATACTGCGTCTTTTCCTTCAATGTTTCTCAGTGTACGCCCTCAGAAGCATTCTGCACTTGTAGAGCGCCACCTTACACCTGACCCTCACCCTTCAGATACCGATAACCATTGCTCAGATCCCCTGTCAGCCTCTCTCCTGCAGGCTGAACAGCCGCAGGATCCCCAGCTTTCAACCACCAGCTGGCGGCCTCGCGAGCACAGCAGATTAGCAGCTGTTGGGCCCGGCGGGGCGCGGGCACCGAGTAGCCGTACTCTCAACGCCGCTACATACGGGCACCGCGCTGCCCGAACGCTCCGCTGCACATCATGCCCCGTAAAGGGAAACCTGAAGCCGCGCACACAGCCCGGAGGAATGCACTGCCAACACGAGAGAGTCAGCGCCGCCCGACACAGCCGGGGCTGCCACTTCCGGGAGTCGCCTCTATCGCATCCATGAGCCGCCCTATAACTTCCGGGAGCGTCCGCATCCACTTCGGTGGGACAGCGCCATCTGTGCGCTGGCGGATCAATTTGCCGCCCGGTCAGGGCCGCGGCCTGGAGGCGTGAGTGGGCGCCACGCGTGGGGCGGGGCGTGCAGGACCGTCCGCCCGTGATTGGCGGCAGGTGTGGGCGATGAGGCCGAGGCGCATTCTGATTGGTGCTCAGTCAACCGGGCGGGGCCAGGAGTGAAGCTGAGAACGCCGTGCACGATTGCAGAGCGAGGTGATGTGTGAGGACCAGCAGTTCGCGCCATGGTTCCGCGGTTCCGTGGTTCCACAGTCAGGAGGCCGCTGTCACCAACAAGATCTCTGCTTTTTCACCCAGCTCTTAGGAGCTCCTCCGGGCTCAGCAGCCTGAGGTTGCAGTGCAGGCAGCACAGCCACGCGCTGCCATATGGCTGGAGTGCTCGGGGCAGATGTCCACCGCTCCTTGGTGCTCGATTTTTGGTCCACTGCTGTAAAACAAGGTGGGGGGATCACCATCTGCTGCCCGGGCAGAACTATTCCTCCTCCTTGGAAATAGCCACTCCCATTCATTCCCATATCCCTTATTTTACATCACCCTTCGGCATTCACTGTTTTTCCCTTGCTTTGAAGACAGGGATCTGTTCCCCCTGCTGCCTGCCAGGCATGCTTTCTATTTTCTGCACTGAACTGCTTTCCTTATCCTTCATACCCTGTTTGGAGGTGTCAGCATCTCTATGTGCCTTTTCTTAGCACATGCCTCACACAGACATTGTTTTCATGCTGTGATTTTTGAGACCACCTTGAGTGCAGAGAAAAGCTTTTTCTCCCCTCGATGCAGATTGTGCTGGGTTACCACTGCCTTTCACACTGATTACACAACCTTGATATTGTGTAGGATGTCGACTGCCCTCTCGTGGGGCATTACTTACACGTCTCATGGTCCTGGCCTGAATTTCCACCCCCAATGGAAACGCTCAAGAAGGGGAGGCCCATCTCCTGACTGGCTGCCGGGCATGGGACAGCTCTCCTTGATGCGACTGAGCCCTTTTTGAAGGTGAGATGCTCTCTGCTCAGTAGGAGGGGACAAGCCCTGTGGCACTGCTCTGCCTGCAGCCCCCAGCATGGGACATGGATGGATCTGGGCCAAGACACGTGTCCCCATCTCTGTCCAAGCACACTGGGGCAAATCAGGCCAGAATGGGGTACAATCCTGGGCTCTCCATGGTGGCACACGGAAGGACTTGAAGGAATCCTTATGCAAACCATGCCCTCGGGAAGAAGCACTGCCTCCCTGTCCCTCTGCCTCTCCTGCCTCTCATCTCCCTGCCCTGACACACTGAGGCCAGATGGGGAGGTGATGACACACCTTGTTTCCTTGACATCACTCCATACTTTCACTTTCTAGGGAAGTGACACAGGCGGAAGAATTGTGGGCAGCTGCCTGTTTCCGTTCAAACATCTGCAGCCCCGAGTCTTATGCCTCTCACCCACAGACATCACCGTGTTTCAGGCGGCTGTAAGCGGCAAAGCAAAGATGGCAGAGACCACGCTGAGCTCCACAGTCTTCATCCGTGTGAAGTCCTCGTCAGGAAAATATATTTTTGTGCTGCTGTCTTTGGATGACACAGTGCTGGACCTAAAGATGAAGCTATTTGCACTGGATAGCTATTTCTATCCTTCTGAGTCAATACTGATTCATGATGGCCAGGAGTTATCGAACGAACGAACTCTCAGACATTACAACATCACCTCCAAAAGCATTGTACACCACGTTCTTAGGTGTAAGTACCAGGCCAGAGGAGGGGAGTGGCATGGGAGCAGGCTGGCCTCTGGCTGCCAAGGGGAAGGGGCAAGAGGACCATCAGGCATGGAGCCCTGTGCCTTGGGAGGGAAGAACTGGGAGGAGAGGGCAGAAAGGAAAATGGATGTAGGGCAATGCTTCCCCTGATGTGATCGGGCTCCTGAGCTCTCCTCTGCTTTCTATTGCTTGTGCCATATGAGGTGGTGGTTTAGCTCCCTTAAAGGGCAAGGAAGATGTCTCAGGTAAGATCACAGTCCTCACTGGCACTCTTGTGGAGGAAGGGGATCTGCACTGGTGTTGACTGTGTGTCCACTTCATTTGTGGAAGTTGTGATAAACCTGGGATTATCTGGTGCTGCACCAGGGGACTGTGTAGCCAATGGGATAGGGAAGACTGGGTGAAGGTAGGATGGCTTCATTTTGGTTGGAAAAGACCCGTTCCTGGGAACAAATTCTTCCAGACATCCAGCGTGAACTTAGCCAGTTCCAAACTCATATGCGTGTCACCCAATCAAAGAGATCAACACTATCCTCAGCAGCATCCTCCTTTCAGTTGATTGCAGTGAGTTGTGAGACAATGATCATCTTTTTTTTCCAGCCACAGGTGATCAAGAACCAGAAATGGAACTGCAGGGCAGTCCAGCAGACATCACCTCAAGGCTAGTAAATCAGGGTATTCCTCCAGTTGTCATTCCAATAGCAGAATTTCAGGGCCCTCAGGCAGGCATCTCAAGGATACAAAGTCAGGGCCCTCTGACAATCAACAGCTCAAGGACGTATAATGTGGGCCCTATGGCATGCATCACCTCAAGAATAGTAGTGGTGGGCGGTCCAGCACGTATTGCCTCACAGATAAAAAGGCAGGGCAGTCCGGCAAGCGTCACCTCAACAAGAGCAATGGTAAGGTCCAGTGGGATGCCTGAGACCTGGGACAGAGGGAGGAGTGTGACAGGGCTGGACAGCAGGCAAGACTTTGCACCATGAGCCCACAGCCATCCCCACTGGGATCTGTGGCACTCAGTGTCCTGCAGCAGGGCTGGCCTGTGCTGCATCCAGGAGGCCTCTCCTCGTACCCCTGGCAAGCAAGCATGGCTGAGAGGAGAATTATGGCTTGGGAGTGCTCTTCCTGTGTTCCCTTCTCCAGGAAATCCAGAAATGGCCACAGTCAGATGTCCCAGCAGAGGAGAGAAGCTGTCGCTGTGTGAGGCAGGTAAGGGTCCTTGCCTGCAGCTCTGCTCTGCACCGGCCTAACAGGTCCTCACTGAGCCTGCATGCCTCGAAAATGTCCCATGCCTACCTCAGATCACAGGATGGTTGCCAGTCATTTTCCTGGCCTCTTCTTTGATGAGTGATGTTTTCTGGACAGCACACAGCATGGTCTGTAGTCCTCTTGTTCTGAAGAGGTAAAAAAATCACAGTATGCCTGATACAAAACCACAGCAGGAAATTAAAGCACTGGGAACCTTTCATGAGCGTTCCTTTGCTGAACAGCTACTTCCCACCATGTCACGTGTCTGAGAAAGAGCAGAAGGTGTCTGGGGCTGCTTGGTGACAGGCAGCTGAGAGAAGGCACCATGCTGGGTCACCTTCGGCCATGTGACAGAGCCTGCACATCGAGAACTGGTTCTGCAACCAGGCCACCAGGCACCTCACTTGCACCAGGCCCCTGCTGCTTTCATGCTGACTGTCCTTCATCATCCTTTCTTCTTTTTAGTTCTCTGCTCTGGACACAGGACAAAAATACCAAAATAACATGGCTTGGGCAAAGCTGATCATTACCCTGCTGCTGCTTGTGTGGTTCACAGCTCATGGGCCAACCTGCACTGTGCTTCACTGCAGTACGCCTCCTGCAAGCGGCATCCACTGCACAACACCCCATTCAGCTCCAAACCAGTTGCACTTGTGTTGCAGGAATTTCAAGAAGTGAGGCCGGAGATAGATCCACATATTTTGGAGGAACAAAACACATACAAGTAAGAGCTCCTAGGAGAAGTGGGAACACTTTCCAAAAGCCCTCATCACACATGGCGTGAGCCTCCCTTCTCTCCCACTTGCAGAGCTTGTCTCCCTGGACCAGGCATCTTCCAGTGCTCTGAGACGGGCCTTGCCTTCAAGGTGGAGTCAGCAGCCAGCATCGTGTACAGATATGCCTCCTGGAGCACGCATCTGAAAGAGGCTGACCAGAATGTGTGGATACCTGCTGGGCCTCTTTTCAACATCGGGGCGCTACCTGGAACCGTGCGAGCTGTGTATCTCCCCCACTTCATCTGCCTGTCAGGTACGGAGCCATGGGACCTGCTCCAGGCACAGCCCCCTGCTGCTCAGGCACCTGGGTTCTCCCAGGCTGCTTTCCCTCAGCCTCCAGTAGGGATACCCTCAGGACCTGCTCACACAGGTGGGCACAGAACAGAAGCTCATCAAAACATCTTCATGGGACACCCTTCAGACTCAGCCAACTTTTTCTTCCCTTCAGAGGTAGCCTGTGCTCTCTTGTATTCTTCCACCTTGCTTTGCCATCCTCCATCCTTTTCTCATGTTTTATTAAACATTCACAGTGCTCCCTTTCCCACCACCTGCTCTGCACTCACACCACTGCATTCTCCTCCCCTCTTCTCGCAGTGGCTGTGGTGACCCACAAGGTTCTGCCCCAGATCCACAGCAGTCCCAAGCTGCTACCTCAAATTTGCAGTTTTCTGAAACCTTAGGAAGACTACCAAAGGCCGGTAGCACCCTGCTGGAACCCTATAAATCCCAGAGTATTTAGCACCCCTAAAGCAGAGCATGTCATTTTGTATTGGTTTGTGTCTCCTTTTTTTCTAATAAACCCTCAAAGAGAAAGAGGTAACCTGGTAGGGTGCAAGGAAGACAAAGCAGAACCTTGTTGCCTTTGCTGTCTCTTTCAGATGTAGACATCAGTGGGTGCTCGATTGCCCATTTTGAATTCCAGAAGATGACCATACAGCAACCAACAGAAGTGATGGCCTTCTCCGCTGTCCTGGAGAATCCCAGCTTCTCTCTTCTTGGAGTGGTTTGGAGAAAGTTACGTTCAGCCATTTCTCTCCCTATGCACTCCTTAGTGCTGATCTTCCAGCAGCTCTCCGCTGCAAATACAACCCTGCATCTCTACCTGATCCCAGATGACAGCTCTGTGAAGGAGGTAAGGTGGAGGGAGCTTGACCAGTTCTGGGGATGGCATCTGGGGTGGCTGCAGTTTCAGGGAATGGATTTGTTAAACAGAGAGCCCTCTCAGTTTTGTTCTGGTGTTTCCTGCCTCTAGGAGTCTCTCTGTTTTTGGCTGGGACAGCATATCCCAGCATGAGCAAAGACATGGCGCAGGATGCTCTGCAACGTGGAGCAGAGCACATGTCAGACACGTGGCTGCTGCCATGCACAGTAATAGGTGGCTGCATAGCAGATGCTCTCCTGTTGTGTGCAGCCCTCACCCTCTGATAGCACTGCCTGCAATGCACGTTCAGGGCTCTGTTCTGACAGGTTGGTCTCTTCTCTTCTTGACTTTCCAAGGTCAGTGAGAGCTACCTCCAGATTACAGCTTTTTTTTTTTCAACTCTCAAAAGTGATCCTTGATGTTTACAGGCCATTGAAAGACAAGAGACAAACTGGAACTCAAAGCTTATTCCCAAGCCTCCTCCATTCAGCCCTCTGTTCTTTGGCAACAGATACCAGGTGTCCAGTAACACTCAAGTGAAGATTACACCTGAAGTAAGTGGGACAGTTTCCTTTTTTATTATTATATTTTTGAGTGAAATAGAAAATACCACAGCTTCTCTGGGTCTCCAGTTCAGCATAGTCATCTTTTCCCCATTATCTAATCAGAATTTCAGACTTGTTTCAGCCTTTGCACATTGCCTCATCTCATCACTGTACACTTCCAAGAGGTTCCATCTTTTCTTTAATCCCCCGTTACACTTTAGAAAGCAGTGATTAGTTCTTCCTTTTTCCGTTTCTTCTCCAAGACAAATAAACCCTGTCCCTCTTCCGCTGCTTGAACCTCATGTTCTCCAAACTGCAGTGGTGGTGCAACACTCAGAGAACATAAAAATGGTGGTAAAATCTCTGCTCTTTAAGGCTTTCAGTATTCCATTAGACCAAGGCTGAGCCCATCTAGAGTTGGCAACACAGTCCTTCTGTGAAGGACAACAGATGAGACACTCCAGAGTTCCATGCCTCTCACACTTTTTTCTTTGTTTCTGTGTGGCCTGGAAACATGAGATGATGTTTGTAAATTCACAGCTCCACAGCGTGACATCCAACTTCCATCTTATCTTTACAGCCACACTTGCCATTTTGCTACAAGAGTCCAGAGGACCAACAGCTCTTTGTTGAGATCTACATCAGGAAAATGGCTGAGGAAGTGGAATTCTTTATCACAGATGGACAGAATGACACCGAGGTCTGGAGGGCATCGCTGAGGTCAGGTAGGATCAGATGCATCTGTAAGGGGGATTGAGATGATGGCACACTGAGCTGCACTTCTCGTGACAGCAAAAAGAGAAGCTCAGATACTCTGAGTGCAGGGTATGGAATTGTGCCTTGGGATTCCCTCTCTGTTAGGCTAATTCTGCACCCCTAAACTAACACCTGCAAATGTACACAACACTGCACCCTGCTTAGCTGAGCTCTTAACAGATGGGCAAGGAATACTGTAAGCAGGAATTAATGGCTAATGGGTCCATGGAACATCAGGCATCTCAGTAAGGCTTCTAGAAAGAGTCTCCATTTCTGTGATGGTGTATTTCATAAGCTCCCTCCTTTCTCTTTCAGGTGATATTAGTCATTCTAGAAACGAATCCAAAAAGCTTTCAGGTCAGTACGGGTTTTCAGAGCTACAGTTATTGAGTCTGAATATTTATTTGGGGATTTCAATCTTCTGGCTTAAAGCAGATAACCAACCACCTTTTTCCCATACCTGTGACTCTTTCATGACAAAAAAAAACTTGTAAAGCTTTTATTATTTCACTGCTGCCTGCATGCTCTCTAACCTGGCATAGTGTTGAGGACCCTCCAAACGGTTTTGCTTTCTCTGTGATCAGACATACTCTTTCTATAGAGAATGAGCTACAGCTAGTACAGTTCACAGCCCAGAAATATTACATGGGACTTTCAAAATCTGGTGGAGTTGGAGCATCTCATACCTTATCACAGAGCCAGTGCTTCCCTCTTCCTTCAAATACCGTAGGATCATGGAAGGGACGGTCCCTGGGCTGTCACCAACCTGACCTCCCTCAGCTCGGGCCCTGTCCTTGCCTTGGCTCCAATGCTTCCACCGCTGATGAGGGAGCTTTCTTCTGGTGGCTCAGCCTCCTGGCCAGAGAGCAGCACTGCTGGTGCACTGGAGGGAATGGGAGCACGTGGCTGTGGGACAGAGCAAAGGGCCCCTGGGTGTGTTGGCTAGGATGCAGAATACCACAGCAGGAACCAACCTGCCTTGTCACGTGCAGCACAGTAACACACGCTTTGGTATCTGCTAGGTGCAGCCTTCCTGAAGAAGCACAAGACAGAGCTTTGTTCCAGGATGGGGCAGCTCTCCTCCATTCTGCTAAATTTAAGTGTTGAAGATGTAATCAACAGTGAAGAAGAAGAGGAGGTGCAAGCTCAAAATACAAAACAAAAGAAGAATCAATTTCTGCTGGACCTAGTGGAGAAAAAAGGGCTCAAGGCCCAAGAGAAGCTCTTTCAGATCCTCCAGACAAAAGACCCATTCCTTGTTGAAGACCTGGAGAATAACTAAGACTGGGCAAGCAGATGGCTTTTGCTCCGATTGGCAGATTAAGGAAGTGACAGGGGAGACAGGCAAATGGAGAGATTTGTCTGTACGTGAATCCTGACCTTTCCATGCAAAATCCATGATACAAAGCAATGCCTAAGCCTTCTGAGCCACCAACTGCCAGGCCTGCTTCCCTTACCTGATGTGCTCACTACAAGAGGACTTGATCACCACTGAGGAGCTGCTGGAACGAGAAACCTTGGTTCTTAATCCAGTGCCCATGTTGTGAAGCCATCTGCCTTCTGAGAACACAGGGCCTCTGCAGGGTCTCCAGATGCTCCAGGCAGCTGCTGGTCGAGGAGCTCTCTTCACAACAGGAACCTCACGGAGTCACAGAATTATAGGGATTGGAAGGAACCTCTGGAAATCCCCCAGTCCAACACTGCTTAGAGCAGCTTCCTTACAGAACGTTACACAGGAAAGTGTTCAGGCAGGGTTTGACTATCTCTGGAGAACGAGACTTTACAGCCTCTCTGGGCAACTTGTTCCACTGCTCTGTCACTCTCATAGTATCGTTTTTATTTATGAAATAAAATCATAAAGTCCATCCATCAACCTGACCATGTTTTCAGCTAGTTTTTGTATTACATTTCTTATACTGCGTCTTTTCCTTCAATGTTTCTCAGTGTACGCCCTCAGAAGCATTCTGCACTTGTAGAGCGCCACCTTACACCTGACCCTCACCCTTCAGATACCGATAACCATTGCTCAGATCCCCTGTCAGCCTCTCTCCTGCAGGCTGAACAGCCGCAGGATCCCCAGCTTTCAACCACCAGCTGGCGGCCTCGCGAGCACAGCAGATTAGCAGCTGTTGGGCCCGGCGGGGCGCGGGCACCGAGTAGCCGTACTCTCAACGCCGCTACATACGGGCACCGCGCTGCCCGAACGCTCCGCTGCACATCATGCCCCGTAAAGGGAAACCTGAAGCCGCGCACACAGCCCGGAGGAATGCACTGCCAACACGAGAGAGTCAGCGCCGCCCGACACAGCCGGGGCTGCCACTTCCGGGAGTCGCCTCTATCGCATCCATGAGCCGCCCTATAACTTCCGGGAGCGTCCGCATCCACTTCGGTGGGACAGCGCCATCTGTGCGCTGGCGGATCAATTTGCCGCCCGGTCAGGGCCGCGGCCTGGAGGCGTGAGTGGGCGCCACGCGTGGGGCGGGGCGTGCAGGACCGTCCGCCCGTGATTGGCGGCAGGTGTGGGCGATGAGGCCGAGGCGCATTCTGATTGGTGCTCAGTCAACCGGGCGGGGCCAGGAGTGAAGCTGAGAACGCCGTGCACGATTGCAGAGCGAGGTGATGTGTGAGGACCAGCAGTTCGCGCCATGGTTCCGCGGTTCCGTGGTTCCACAGTCAGGAGGCCGCTGTCACCAACAAGATCTCTGCTTTTTCACCCAGCTCTTAGGAGCTCCTCCGGGCTCAGCAGCCTGAGGTTGCAGTGCAGGCAGCACAGCCACGCGCTGCCATATGGCTGGAGTGCTCGGGGCAGATGTCCACCGCTCCTTGGTGCTCGATTTTTGGTCCACTGCTGTAAAACAAGGTGGGGGGATCACCATCTGCTGCCCGGGCAGAACTATTCCTCCTCCTTGGAAATAGCCACTCCCATTCATTCCCATATCCCTTATTTTACATCACCCTTCGGCATTCACTGTTTTTCCCTTGCTTT